TTTTAATCATGGACATTATAATTATTACTCAAATACTCAATCAAGTCCGGTTTCAAACATGCTGTAATTTCAAACTTTGACCCTATACTTTAAATTTGTAATACTAGATTTTTGCCAATGAATTCGCATGAGTCTTTTTTGTAATACACGCCATAAAACAAAAGCCGGAATGTGAATTTGAAATTTTAAAAGTGGAGCTATGTAGAAGTGTATTGCTATTCCGAAAAAACTCATATCTATTTTGTGTTTTTTTTTAAACTCTTTCTAACACTTATTATGTATAAAACATATGTTATATTGAAATGAACATGCAAGTACTGTGAATAGTGTTTTTAAAATAATCATGATACTTGTGCAAATCAAACAACAACCATCCAGTTGTGTTATAATTTCATTCTTAAGGAATACCCCTACCACAGTGTTGGCTGCCTATTTGGCCGGAATGAACACAAAACGCTTTCCGAGTATTTGATTTTTGTTTTAAGTCCTTAAAATGGGCTTACTTACCATGCTTACTATTTTAATTATTTCGATTTTTTGTTTGAATATGAAAAGCGAGTACTGTAAATTCAGAAATTATTGCGATGTTTTTATTATTGCGAAAAATGCGACAGGGTTATAATCGCAATAATTTAAACTAACATAATTATCAAAATTATCACATGTTAAAGTAGAAAATGTAAATAAACAATTGCCACGTGCTGATTGTACGTATGCAACAAGTCTTAACCCCGAAAATATAGGACGATATTAGGTGTAACTTTTAAAGTTCTTAATCTAAATTGAAGTTCCTGCGTATGTTTCGTGCGTAAGTTTTGGAATGTCAACGTATATTTTCGGTTCCTGCTTCACAAAATTTGTAAACACTAGACATACTCATTTTTACACCCCAACACTGAAGAGAGTCTTAGTCCTGCTATTGGTCAAGAATTATTTTGTCAGAATGGTCGTGATTTTAATCTACCGGTAGATGGCGTTGCATTAAAATCACAAATGTTGGCTTAGAACACCTAAAAAAGGTAACTCTTACTCATAGTCTGTTTCATTTCAGCGTTTTAAAATCACATGCAATATGCAAGAATTTAAAAGATCCAGATCAGAATGTTAACATTGTTGTTAGGAGCAGACGTACACCTATTGTTATTCGTTTGATTTTTAAATCCTTTTAAAGTCAATTGTTCTGTAATGTCTATCAAAACAAGTGCCTACATAAATGCATAAATTTTCATATTTTATGCATCAAATAAACATGAGAATGTGGATTGGGGTTTTCAGAATAGAGAATAATGGGCAAAAAATATAAAGAAAATATAAAATGGACCAAACATATAAAGAATGGACAATAATTAGGTGCTAAGATATAAAAAATAGAGAATAATGGGCAAAAAATATAAAGAAAAGAGAAAAATGGACTAAAAAAATAAAGAATACAGAAATGAAGGACTCCCATCAAAACCCTCATAGAGGAATTGGAATATTCTATAAAACGAAGTACAAGTATATTAGGATGCACGTGCACGTAAATACCGCAAACACTATTGAATAATTTCAGTTTAAATTTGACTTTTCTTATAAACGTGTACTACGATTTCTCTTTAAAAAAAAAAATAGTCTTTCATTGTCACTTATTTTTTCGTTTTCTTGAAGTAAAATTTACAGGGGCTACGTATATACCGAATTCATTTTTGTTGAACGCATCCTCAACTCTATATGTTTTATCTATAAAAACTTGATTTTCCCATAGCGTTTTCAGTTTCTCTTTGAACTTAAAAGTTTTGGATGTCCATTTGGTATCTTTCGCATCAGTCAAAGTTATTAAACTTGTTTTGGGATAACAGCATTAAGTCTATACTTTCGTATCTCAGATTTCCGAATATTTAATTTGCTATACATATCGAAAAGTAAATAGCTCATTTTTCGATATTAATTGGTGTCTGTCTGTTGCCTCTGACCTTGTGCATCTTATCAACATGTTATCTTTATAAATAAAATATTTGCCGTTTGAATTTATCAGCCAATACTCAAATCGTTAATCCATATTTTCACAAACGTGTGTACTTTTTAAAGATTTTTAATTTAACTTTCATTTAATGTTTAATTTTTCCATTCTTTTGTCCAATTATTTTTTTTTCTTTTTTTCTTTTTTTATATTTTCAAACGCTGGATACCAAGATTATAATTATATTAGCCACTTCTATGTTATGATAATATTTTTTTTCAGGTTTGAGCGGGATACATTGCAATCGCATTCGTCAGTATTTTTGTTTATACCTCATGGTTGTAAAACATTGTTTTTAGTGTTTGCAATACGTATTCGTCATCTACAATCTTCTGCTAAATCTTTCAAATGAAAATACATTAAAAAAATGTTGTGAATGCTGGTACAATGTATGTTTATATTTTAAAGGGTTATGGGTTGGGAAAAAATTGTGTGAGGTGTATTTGTATATATTTGGTCATAACTTTGTCTTCTTTTTTTTTTATCCTGATGTTATCATTTTTTTTATCCATGATGTTATCTTGTATAATTGCATATATATTTTTTTTCAAATTCAATTTGGTTGAACTATATAATGTTTGTGTTTATATCATCAGAATAGATAAAACTTTGAATTGAGTTGAATTGAATCAAGAAGCCAAATATATCAGGCCTAGGTCAAAAGACAACAAGTCATGGCCTGGTCAAGTGTTTCTTGCCAAAAATACATTGATTATCCTTGAGGCCAAAGTTCAGGGTCATATGAAGGTCATAATTATAAGGGAGCGCACCACCTCGTGATGATACGTCCACATGCCAAAGATGTAAGGCCTAGGTCAAAAGACAAAAAAGTTATGGCCTGGTCGTGTTTCTTGCGAAAAAATTCATTAAGAGACCTTGAGATCAAATTTGAAGTTCACATGAAGGTCATCATGGTACACGTCACTCAATATCATGGTGATACATCCACATTCCAAATATCTAAGGTCTGGATCAAAAGACAAAAAACGTTATGGGCCAAATGTACTGTCAGAATGGAACTTGCTCTTATTTATTGAGGGTAGGGGTATATTTTAAACCTGAATAAATAGCAATCTGGCAATTAAATTGAAAAATTAAAGAACAACAGACTGATATAGCGCTACAAATTTTTCTTAGTTAACATTTTTTTTCTTAAAATATTATGCCAATTATAATGATGAAGGTAAATCCAGAAAAGCGCTTCGGACGCATGAAATTATTAAACGTGTTGTTTTCAATTTTTTTTACATCACTGGGTCGATACCTCTGCTGGTGGACTATCAGTCCCCGAGGGTATCATCAGCTCAGTAGTCAGTACTTCGGTACTGACATGATTTATAACAAACTTTTCTAAAATTGTCCGTTTATAAATTTTGAAATTATAAAGAAACTAAGGTTTCAACTCCCTCAGGCAAAGTTGACCTTAGGTGAATTTGGCTATTTGTTTTAGGTATTTTTGTCATATGGCTCTTCAACTGTTTCGGTATTTATACATCCCTCAGATTTCAAATGTTTGGCATTGAGCGTTCCTGGTGAAGGTAAATCCAGAAAAGCACTTCGGACTTCCAAGCTCGGCCAAAATTAGCATGTGGCCCATGGCATATTTGGGTGGTTATATCTTTTTTACCAACGGTTTAAATCTTTAAAAATGTTTACATGATGTTCAGCTAGGCGTAATTTATCAAGGAGATAAAACACGAAAAATTAAAGGACAGGTTTTTTTAGGAGTATCGTGTTGGGAGCCCCCTTAATCTGCCTTAATCTTGGAGAGGAGGGGGCTGTATTGTAACCCTTGGCTAGCGAAGATGAGCTACACTAAATGGACATTTCGTTTCAAAAATGAATAATGTCATTCATGGCATTTCATTTTGTCTTTAACATATGAGTTTGAATATCCCTTGGTATTTTTCGCATCTCTTTAAAAACACTTTTAAAACAGGTCAATTTATCAATTTAATGCCTAGGAATTTAAAAATAAACAAAATTATGAAACCTTGTTGACATATAATAGCATGACACATGGATGATCGTCTTTTCGTGTAGCATGTACAATATGAGTTTGTGCTATCTCCCTGCCATTTCACGCTGATCGCCGTTTAAACAATCCAGTTACTATATAGTTTCAATATCACATATCCTAATAAGTGTAAAGGGGCTAAAATATTTTTCTTGATTCTCATTTTTGAAGGGTCTTTTCTTATGGTCAGAACATTGAGAGAAAGCAATTACAAAATGTCCAAATGATCTGCTTTTCCGAGATAAAGATGTCAAGAAACCAGAGAAAAGTATACATATAGTACATATCTTTAATCCTGGCAGCTATGGTGAGTTTATTCAGAAAGTTAATATAACAAATTACTTACCAAGGCATGCAAACATTACAAAAGAATATCCTATTAAATGTTATGGGTAAAATGGGATACAATTGCATGCACATTTTTGAAGGAAATAATATTTTTTTACGGAACTTAAGTCTAACAATGCATATCTTAAGGTTTTTCTTGACGCTAAACACACCTGAGGGTTGCAAGATTGCCTACGACAGGAAAACTTTAAAGTATGCATTATCTAGATCATGAATTTCATAAGGCAGCATGTCAGACAAGTCAATGTAAGATATTCTAATTAGATATTTATGTAATGTTGACGTTTGCATTTAAACACGTACAAATGTATAGTAATTAATTTATTTTAAACTTTAACACTGGCTTTTGTCTCACCACAGAGGTTAAAATCCTGAGTAACAAAGTGATTAACACATTTAGAATCGTGTTTCGAAATCATGCTATTAATCTGAAAATTTTAAATTGTAACATAGATTAAAAAAATGTTAATATTATCTTTACAACAATTCCATTCCATAGTTCGGTAAACGAGTGTTTGAGAGTTTCGGTCTATTACAAAGAAATAAAACGGCCGTTTGAATGTAAACTATACCAACAAAGTAAAATATAATTTATGTATGTGGTATAAAATACTGTAGTAAACATGTATAACTTACCGAGCATCAGGTTCATATAGATTATTATTAACAAAAACAAATATTCCATTCTAAATCAAAAGGGAGTATATTTCTTATACTTCTATTAAATTGTCGTGATTTACGAAGCATATAGGGCAAACCAACGCAATTATGTGAATATCTTTTGATCTTTAAACATTATTTATACATAACTATTAGCATGATTGGTTAATTATAGACATTCGTTATTTAAAATAGTTGTGTAGTTGTTCAATTTGATTCACTGATCATTGTCAAATTTATAAAGGATCAATGTATATAATTACATAGCATTCGTTTTGGGTTGATCAGACCTTGAATCTTTTTGTATATTTGTTTGTATCGTCATTATCATTAAGTTTGTGTGATAAGATAAATTTTGTAAAAGAATCTGTATGCTAAATTTGATCTCTGGAAAGAATGGAAACAAGCACACATTGATCCACATGATACAGAAATTAACAACTACATGTATATGTCACAGAAACAGCCTTCAACAATGAGCAAAGCCCATACCGCATAGTCAGTTATACATTTCCCCGAAATGACAAATGTAAAACAATTCAAACAAGAAAACTAACGGCCTAATGTATGTACAAAATAATGAACGAAAACAAATATGTAACACAGCAACAAACGACAACCACTGAATTACAGGCTCCTGACTTGGGATAGGCACATACAGAATGTGGCGGTGTTAAACATGTTAGCGGGCGCCCAACCCTCCCCTTACCTGGGACAGTGGTACAAAATAAGAACAAACTATAAAAATCATTTGAAAAAGGTTTAGCTCATCAGATGGATACATATAGAAATACATCTAACAAAAACACAGAGTGGACATGACCGGGTACGTAAACATCCCAATAAAAAAAAGACATTTAGTACATCAGAGAGTACTCGCAGTTACTGACAGCTAGTTCAACGCCAATAACAACTAATAAAAAAAAATAACATGCATAAATTAGATAGATATATATATAGCTTAGTATACGGTATGGATATTCCTCTTTTTAAAGGCTGTACTTTGACCTTTAGTTGCTTACAACTTCATATTTTATGTTTTTGTCTAGAGTAAATAGTTTCATGTATATATTGAGCAATCATGCATGTAACTCATGTTTTATCTTCCTATTGGCTCCATTTTTGAAGAAATGCATGAATCTTGTGGATAATCATATAAAACTCGTTATGGTATGTAAAAATAAAGATATGGCAATCACGACATTACATATTTCTAAAGAGTGCAAACACATTTAAAGTCTGTTCAAGTAAACCACTTGTCTGGAAACAAGTTTTTCAGTATTGACATGCCAATAAGAATATTGTTTAATTGAGATTTGTTTTTATAACATTGTTGAAATTATTGTGAATTAAGGAATGAATTTTTTTAACAAAACAACAAGAATTTGATAAGGTCAGAGGTATGTTTATAATGAACAATTTTATATCTCATTTTAGTTGAAATTCGTTTCGTTTTCGTACTATATTTCATCACATATGTAAGAGGTAGAATGATTTTGAAAAAATAATAAAGAAAAGTAAAAATCTATACTTCTAGAACAACGAAGTCCAATGTATTAGCCGGCATGACGTAAAAACGACGAATAAAAAAATTCAACTTTATATTTACAATGATATAACTTATATAAGAAAAATGATGTTGTTGAAAAATAACACCATTTGAGGCCTTTCTGTTTTCTATATATAATTAATATTACCAATAATTAACAAGTTCCGGGTCGAATCCCATACCGATTCTAATAATATATGTCACATGTAGTTTTCGGTACTTACCTGTTACCTTCTGTAAAACCCTCCTTTATCAGGAGAACCTGGAATTCTTCCAGTAGTTGTTTCATATCTATGTTACACTATGTTACACCAGAGACATATAATACAATATGTCTCTGGTAACACTATTTCACAAGTCTGTTTACTTCCGTCTCAATACCACTATTAACTTCGGTTAAATAGTAAAAAAATAAATTCAATTTATAGTTAGTTTATTGTAGAAAGAAAACCAGGACGGGTTAAAACAGAAAGATTTTGAAAGCAGAGAAAACTGTGCATTTTACAATCAGCATGACTTTATCAGATGACAATACAAATAATAAAAATCCAGGCTAGAAATAAGGCATAGGTGCTTTACTTCAGTTACGGACCCGCGATGTCGCCCGTGTGTTCTAGTAAATAACAAAAATTTAAAAAAAATGAAAACATGCTTCATGTGTGGGTGAGTGTTGAAATTTGGATCAATAATTACGTGTATATTCTTACAGCAGGCTAAAAGAAATAACTAGAACAGTGTTTGTACCAATGCATTACAATAATTCAAATATTAAGCAAAAGTCTGGCTTGATTGTATTTACAAGGAAATCATGTATTCATATGAAATGAATGATACAAAAACATTATCAATAATTATTCATGTAGTTTCGTGCTCTTATCAATTCACGAATATCATGTAAAACACTCACACAAAGCATAAAAAATGCATTTCATAATTAAACATCGAAACCTCGATAAAGTATGTGTATTGCAACTATTATCATCAAACTATATTTTCCATATTGGCCCTGGTATCAGCGTAGTTTGAGGGCTGATATGGGTCGATGTCTGATATCAGGGCCAATATGTAAATGTCGTGCAATGATCTGTTTATTACATATTTTATTTATTGTTTTTGATTGACAGGTTTCATGAAAGGTAAATTTGGCGGTTCAATATTGGTATTCGAGGGCGAATATCGACATTGGTCCCGAGGACAAATAACCGACTCCGATTTAAGACTATTATTGAACATGCAAACACGTACATATTAGTACAAAAATGTATAACCATGTTTATATAAACAGATTTCAACATTTTATATTACCGTAACGGTGCTTTCCCGACTTCGATTTTCATAATTGATACTATGAAATGTAAAGTTTGAACTGTAGAAATAATGCTGAAAATATAAAAAAGAAACATTAAAATCATACATTGAATAATACTAAAATGTTTTTATTCATGCATGTAACTTATTCTATATCTTCGTTTAGATAAGACATACTGGAAAGGGGTGTTTATAGATTAATACCGAAAAACCGAAATTGGTAGTAACTAAAAAGAACATAATATTTTTGTATCTTTGAGGTAAACTAAAGAGTATCATTATCTTTATATCTATGCTTAAACATATGTTCAAGAGACACGTTCTTCGTAAAGGTAACTCCAGAGAAACGTAATCTAATAAGACCAATATTATTACTCATCATCACTTGGTATTTGACAAGTTGATTGTGTCCGAATCAGAATCACTTATCATAGTTAAAATAAAACGATGCTCAAACTTGTCTAAAGCAGTGGACATTTTGACTCGAAAGGATGGAGACTCGTTAATTAAGGGCATTATTGATCTTTGCAATAGAATTTGTAATGTAAATGATCTCAATAAATTATATACTTTTGCTGATTTTGATTTTTTGAAACCTTTCCGTCAGATTCAATTCATGTTTAAGTGTCTCACAAAATCATTTGTAAAAAGGATATCACAAATGTAAGTGCTCCAATTTGTCTGAAGATGTTTTGCGTTTGAATTGAGAATAAATAGTACCGCATTAATTGATGTGTAGATTTACAAAGAGGATATACAAATCAGAACAAATACTTTCATACTAATTCTCTTGTCTACAGATCTTTTTGATTTTAATGTATCACATGCCAAGTTAACAGCATCTTGGTACAAGCATGCAGTTACCGATATTGTTTTATTGCTGTTATACATTTATAGAATTCTTTCAAAAATACCTACGTCTACATTGTAACGAAAATAATTTGATTTTTGTTTATATATTTTGAATTTAAAAAAAAACTAAATGCAAAATCTAAATTTTCAAAGTAATCACTGGACTCTTAGGCATTGACATCAACAAATATCATGGTTATCATGGTGATCTTAATTTGAGGTGGTATTATAAGGCTACTTTTGCCAATTAAATTTGTAAATCAAAACATAAATAATTGTTAAATTATTTCATTCGGATGCTCAAAAGCCATTAGTCTATCAGATATCAGTTTTGAAATTATTTCAATTTTGCCTTACACATCTGCATAAGGACTTTTACCAAAACTGTAAAAACTACCAAAATAGACTAAAGTTCAGAGCGTGTCATCACTATTAAAATATAAGCCAAGTCCTTACTCCAAAACGATGTCTTATAACAGTGATGACGATGTGTTTGAATAATTTATTTTTTGTACATGTAAGGTATTGTCCATATTTAATTTTGCTAAAAACCAAGAGCAAATGGCCATATTCAATCAAATATGTCAATTTAAACAATTGCTTTACAATTTGCTCTAATCATGCATCTTCCATTATTCAGAAAATGATGATTTTTCCTTTCCTATTTTAATTTTTTTTCTTATCCTTAATATTCTAAATCATTTGTCCGATATTCTGATATTTCTTTGACTCCTTTTAGAGTGTTCATTTCATAGTCGATCAAATACATGTATGTTCTTTTTTTGCAATGACGTCAGAGTTTTAACGAAAGAAATCATTACTAAAACGTGTAAAAACATGATATACAGCATGTTAGTGTGCAAGGGTACATATATAAATAAAGAAAACAAGTTAAAACTGTTTCTAAATTTATCACGAGTATAGAAATTTATAATTGATGTTAGATTTTATCAAAAAGAAAAATTCTAGTCTCTGATGACATTTGTATTCACACAGCCCTTGCTTGAAACTCGGCGTGGTTCTTTTAATTTTTTTCTATGTTAAATCTATGTATACTTACTTATTTCTTTAAGTAAACCATTGTGACGTCCCTTGCTGTATATCTACCTTGGTGCCAGGATGTAGAAAGAATTGATTTCAAAAGCGCTATATTTTTGTTTACATTGAATGCATTCTTTTATACCATATTACATGTACTTATGATTTCGTTATCTTTTATAATGTTACAAGCCACGGTGAACTAAGCCTGGTTAATCTTCACATATTATAGCGTTAGTATAGAGCAAACATGTTTTGGATGTACCTTCCTCTATTTTCCATTTGTCGTACCATTTAATAATATTAGAAAAGAACATATGAGAGCTACAATCAGGTTCTACTAGCACAGCT